TAAGTATGTCATATATCCAGGCTACAAGATTTAAAAATTCTACTTACTTGTAGGGCTGTGCAAAGTTTTGGTCCTCGATTCAATTCGGTGGAGATTTGGCCCAATTCAGTGGCCGAATCAAATCATGGGACCCTTTAATCTCCCCGAATCAAATCTGAACCCGCCGAATAAATTCAGAGAGATTCAGCAATTTGGACATAGACACAGCTTTAAATGTTTTTTCTACATACCTCTAGATAGCAGGCGGCTCATGAATGCTGCAATCCTAGGACATATGGAGTGTCCCACAGAAGTGTGTGTGGAGGGGTCCCCAGCATGCTCAGCAGCAGACCTGGAAGTGGACCCGGAAGTGCTTCTGTTCCACTGGAGAGCATACAGGGCCCCTCCCCGACACCTCCTCGGCTTAGCAACTGGTGCCTCCTGGGTCTGGGGGGGCATCCAGGGTCCACCCACAGCCGATCGCCAAGCAGAGGGATGCATGGCCCCCCCCAGTGTGCTGCCCAGTGGACCCAGAAGCGGACCAGAAGTACTTCCAGTACACTTTCAGATTCACTGCTGAGCATGTGGCGCCCCCCCTCCCCCCAACTCCTGTGGGATGCTCCATCTGCCCCAGCATCACAGAATTTATGAGCCACGCTGGTACCTCAAGGTATGTGGAAAAAAACATTTAAAGCTGTGTCTATATCCAAATCACTGATTCTCCAAATCAGCATCAAATCTTCAGATTTGGCTGAATCAAATCAGGGACAGTGATCTGAATCAGCAAATTGAATCACTGTCCCTGAATCAGGCCAAATCCAAATCCAATAGGGCCTGCTTCACATACCCCTACTGATTTGTACCCTTTGACATTCCCCCTTCATCCATCCCTTTAAGTTTTAGCATTTTATCTTACACCAATATGAAATAGTTTAAAATATTTCCTTAATCTTTATTCCATGCCAAATAATTCTTAATACATATAGTCTGATTATACCCTTAAGTCTCCATGCTGTACATAGAACACTAGAATATGAGTTCTGTTGACTGCCAGTGACCTGCTGTATAACTTTGTATTATAAACCTCCTGTTTCTATGCCTCTTCTTCCTTCTGTCATGCACAATCTTTGCCCATCTTTTTTTATTTAGATGCTTCAAATTTATCTTACTTTGCATTTATACAGTACCTAGTTTGGTGCAGTCTCAGTCTCATTTGGGGCCTCTAAACACTTTTGTGATAGAAACAGAGAAAAGTAGGGTTGGAAGATGAAGTCATTCATGTCTAAGTTACCCCAGGCAAATGTCTGTTTAACCTGCTCTTAAAAAACTTCCAAAGATGGAGATGCCACAACATCTCTGGGTAATCTTTTCCAACTACTCTCATAGTGAGAAAGTTTCTGGTATTTGCAGGGGAAAAAAAAAAGCTGAAAATGTAACCTCTAAAGGCTCAAAAACCAAAACACCAAAATAAATAGAACTCCATATATTTAGTGGGATTCCCTATCATCACTACCACCCTGTCCTCAACTAGCTGTAGAAGTCTGAGGCACAAATACAATATATTCCATTAAATTCCAGAGGACAGTCAAAAGGAAAAACCCTGTATGTTTCCTTATTATTATTATTTTCAAAAGGAATGTCCATAATGTCAGAAATACAGAAAAACTAGAAGTCCTTTTTCATATATTTTTGTTGCTAAGGAGGTGCAATATTTCGGCAGCCCCCACCTCATGCTGTTTGAACACATAAGGTTGGTGCAACATGGTGCACACGGAATAAAATTACAGAGAAAACTGGACCCGTTTTTAAATTCTTAGTTTCATAAAATATCTTTAAAAAAATGTTCAAGGATATTATTTTCTTTTTTATTATTACAGCTATACATTGGATTGAGTTTGCAGTTTTTCGGGATTACTTCTTCAGTAATGGTTTTATGGAGTGAGATGGGAAAAGGAATACAGATCACAAAGATAAAAATACTTGAAATAAAACCTGTACATGTACAATACATTGCAGATATAAACAATATTGCTGCTTCTTTTCTTTCTTTCCCTTGAAACTCATTTGCATCTCACCTGCATTGGAACTTTTAGATACAGGTGCCCTAAAATCATGGCTGGGTTTCAAAATTAGGCACCTGAGAGAGGCAAAGCATCTGAAGAAATCCAGGAGAATTAAAGGCTTATTTATTTCCATCTGGCTATAGTAACAGTCTCAGATGTGCAGTACAAATGCAGCTAAAAGTGTATTCCTCCAGCAGTAAAAATAAAGACGCTCAAAAGTCACAGATTCTGCACGAGTAAATCACTAGAGTTCATTGTGAGCATTTTTTTTCTCCTATTCCAAAGGAATTCCACAGTGACTAGTATTTTATGCAATTCTACTTAAAAAGAAAATCCAGTAAACTTGTTTGCTGAGTTAGTATTAGGGGAGAAACAGATACACCAGTTGAGGTGATATTGTATATTAAACTAAAGTATTGTAGGGAGAAGAACTTAAACATGAGAAGCTAGAGGGATAAAGCAGAAATAAACAAATCCATAAGAATGTGAGCACAAGGATAAATGGATGTCCAAGGGAGGATAAAGAAGTCATTGTAGGTGCTGCTACAGGTTGTACACACCAATCTAAAATCAAGTCAAATCCAGGGATGTTGATCCATAACTAGATTTAACAAGAAACGTTGAGACTGGGGAGAACCTGGCTAAGAGAATACTTGGCTTGATTATCACTAATGAGATTTGGGTACCACAGTCTAATGCCTCAGCAAACAGATGTTATACTTTTGTTTATGACTGGGCTTAACCTAGAAAGGTACATATAGGATAACCCAATTTTTGCCTTTCCTTTAAGATAACACAAACATAAATCTTTTAAATGTTTGGATTTATTTCAATGTTTGCATTAAATCTAGTTGCATTTAATGTTTGCATTAAACCAGAAAATACAAAATTTTAAAAGGTTTCATTTAAAATGTTAAATGAAACCTTTTAAAATATTTTCTATTTTGCTGTTCTCTGCCCTCCTTGGTTAAGAGTTCAAAAGATTCTCCAAGAATGCACTTGATGACTGAAATATGACTAATATTTTGTGTTAGCCTCTCATAGGTCTGTTTCTCAAGCTCAAGAGACAGGCAGTACAAAAGTTGCAACAAACTTAAACCTTATTAAAATTTCAACTGAATTTCTGTTCCAACTTTCAGTATGTACTGAAGTCTATACTGCAGTATTATGTTTTTACATGCACCTAAGACCACATACAAGTGTTACATTTATACTGGGAGTATTTCTGCTTTTGCAGTAGAAAATAGGAGTATGAAGACATTCATGAGGTATCTCCTGGAGGAAAAATATACCTCCCCAACTCATAGATCTTTTTTCTGGGAGAGCTTCTTCTGGTAGAAAGAACATCTGTATATTTTCCTTTGCAAGACAAGCCACAGCACTGCCCTACAGCATCCCAGCATGTCATACTGGGCAATGAGCAATGCAAAGTACAGGTAAGTGTGGATGTTTGGTTCCTCAAGGACAACTAGCAGCAGGACACCTTGTGCAACTCACTGCTTGATTTCCCTGAGGAACGCTGGTACTGTGTACCTTCTGGTGCATGGCAGGTTACCCTGGGTGGGGTAGGGGAGGCTGGCCCAGTAACCTTACTTGCGGTCCTGGGGAGCTGCAGCTGCATCACTCCAGCAGCTGGGAACCTGTCCAGCAGTCAGAGTGTGGCTCTGGCTGGCCAGGCTCTGGTTTTGGGCAGCATGCACTGCCTCCACATGTGCTGCCCCACTTTTCTTCTGTGTGGGTTTTTGACCCCTGGATTTCCAGGCAGCAGCATGGAAAATACCTGAACGTGTGGTGTGGGGCACTGTAGATGGATCTGCAGCACCACATACTACACTGCCGTTCTTGTCATGTGGCCTATGATTCAGGGGACACAGTTAATGACTTAGATGACTCTACTCTTCCTGTCAAAAGCGGAGTGAATCATGGCCCCCGACAGCTTTGGGGCCAGGAAAGCCCAGACACTTCATGTGTCCTGTGCTTTACTCAAAGGCTGCTTTTGAATACAGGTTCCCTAGGAGAAGGAGAAACCTGACCCAGTCAGACACAACTTGGCTGTGCACACATGTATCATCGCTGAGCCAGCTGGTACAGAAGGGGTAAGGATCCATTCAAGGTTCTGGAGTAAAAATTGCCAGGATTGTTACTTAGAAGGGACCAGTTCTCAAAATAGGGAGAGGGGGTTGTGGGCAGAGGTTCCCCAGGAAGGCATGGTACCCCAGGCAGGCAACCATTCAATGGTGTCCTGAATACTTAGCTGCTCCTGGCAGTCTCTAAAGGCTGGAGAACCTGCAAAGCACACTGGGATACATGCACAGCAGTCCTCTGGCTGTGTGGTATCAGCAGCATGGGCTCTGTGACACTGGAAGTGCCCAGTCCCTGGAACATTTGTATACTCCTCTCCCAGTAAGTTTTTCTATTATGAAAGAAAAAAAAAATCCCAGTAGATTTGAATCCTGTTTATGGCCTAAAATAGTCCTAGTGACCCTGTCTACAAATTAGGTCTCCTAGGTCAGTACAAAACAGTACACTACAGGACAGTAACCCATGTATAAGTCAGTAAAGGCTCTTATTTAGGATGCTGTTTTGCTTTAGGTGAACTCCCCCTCCTCCCCCCACAAGAAAAAAAAACCAAAAACACAACAACAACAACTCTTCTCAACACTGGAACCAGGGAACATATCCAGAGTCCACTAGATTGTTAGGTTTTGGTTTTATTTTTTTAGGTGAGGGGGTATGGGGGGTAATTTGCTTTTTTAGTTTTAACCTCTATGTTAACAGTATACACATTAGCTTTCTCATTTCTCCCTTTCATCTCCTACAAACTCATTACAGAATCAGACTATGTTAATTGTGACTATAACATATAATATCCATGCATTAAAACTTTGATTATACTTTCATATGGACCTCCTCAGCATTAAAAATAGAAACCAAGGAGAAATATAATAATGCACTTACCAGATGGCAACTGGAAAGTTTAACAAATCGCTGCCAGTTGTAAAGTGGCTAGACCAGGGCTAATGCGGCATAATTCAGTACACTTCAATGGGCCAACCTCTCAAAAAGCATTCTGGGAAGGAAGAAAAAGTCTGCATTAGAAATCAGTTTTATACAAACGAGAATTAACAGGGACCAGAATATCTAATACCTAATATAGTACTCCTCAGAAAGGGCCTAGGCCATGTTGTATATATCAGTACTATATCACACATTGTCAAAATCTGTATAGGCATCTTCCAAGTTTGACTTTTTTTTGTATCAGAGACCAACGCTATATTTATCTGAATCTCCAAAAAGGAAGCAAAATATAATTTCTGCCATTTGCCATTATGTGGGTTGAGATAGAGAAGCTACCTCCTCCTCATTTACAGGCAGAATAAAATATTGGAAGCAAGTTATATGTCATGAAAGCAGCCAACAATAAATCTTCCTAAAGTTCCAGCCAGCACCTTATTTTGACATTAACTAGACAGAGATGTCATATAGTTTTTTGCAACTAAACAACAAAATAGATCTGAGTGAAGAATCACTGATTTGTCAGAAAGTCAGACTCATCCATCCTAGCTGACTTGCAACTATATTATAAAAAAACTCCTGAATATATCAAAAGCAAACTGAACAAAACTCAATGTTAAATCAAGCACAAGACAGAGACTCACTACTCCATCTTTTTTAAAAAGATGCTCTTTGTAAGCATAAAGCTCAAGCTTCATATGAAAATATTCTGTTACTCCATCTCTTTTCAGTTTAAACCCACTCTGTTGTCTCTGCACATCATCCATCAATTGTTTTTGCCCAAACATCTCATATAATGGCTTCCTCTGTATCCTTCTTCCATTCCTTATGTATACTTTTTAGTCTGTACAGTTGGAACAGCCTTGGCTCAGTTTACTTTTTTGCTGTGTTGACCACTAGACCACTATCATAGAGACATAAAGACAACTGACTCTTATTTTGGTGCCTTTATGGTTATTCCAGGAATGGCCATCTCAGAGCCTATCACCATTTCACATTCATTTGCTAGTGGTTTGATTTGTTTTTTTTTTACTGCAGCAGACTTACTGCCAATTAACCATGGGATTTTTTTTTCTATGTTAGGCAAAAATCTACCATTCTCTGTTTTTAAAATGAATTTTCACTGAACATACTGGTTCTTTCTTTTGGGGGTGGGGGAGAGTATAATTTGGCATGGAGTATAATTTGTGGGTTTTCTTAGACCAGTAGGTGTGTCATGTCAGGCTATGGGCAGCCAGGTCTGGGATCACCTCAGGGTCAGGAGAAGCCAAGGAGTCAGAATCCAGGAGATCTGGCCAGGGAACTGAGATAAGGGCCCAGAGAGTCAGGCAGAGCATGACGTCAAGAAGCTAGTTGGGTTAGGTATTCAGAGAATCCATTAAAGTCAGTAGCAGTACAGACCCAAGAGTACAGCAGACCAGGTACAAGGTTGCACCTTGTTGCCCAGACACTTCCCCTTCTGGGTCAGGGTTTTTAGGGGAAGGGGTAAGAGGTCAGCTGACCTTGACTGGCCACTCTGATGGCAGGGAATGGGCATGTCCCTAGATTCAGATTGTGGGTTCTGACCACCTATGTCTACCCCAAAGTTTCACTGGGGTGGTGGCAGTCCGAGGTGAGCCACTACACTGGGCAGACCAAAGCACTAGATTCAAAGCTACATACTGACAAAGGTATTATTAGGATGTGAGATAGCTATTTAAATATGTGTTTTCTCCATCTACCAAATGTGTGGCCACAAATAGGATTTATGCTACCTGCTAAGAGGGTTAGGGGCAGAGGACAAGACACTGTGTAGCATCCTTGGCTTTTGCTTTTTGAGAAAATGGTGCATTAATTATTGGCATGACTGCTTTGTTTAAAAAATAGTCCATAGTTAGCTAAAGAATGTCTTTCCCTGCCCCAGGCTTGCAATGTTACCTTGCCTGGGTTTTTTAATTATTATTATTTGGTGGGGAGTTAGAAAAAGATGTCGTAAAACTTTGGAATAAGGGTAAAAAACAGTAATAGGGTACAATACAGTTATTGCACCATTTGGGGAAGTTGTAAAAGAAAGCAGAATGTTTTATAAAAAAAGATGTAACGTTCTTCTGAAGTAAAATAGGGACACTTGTTTTGAGTGAAGTAAGGCATTAACTCATTGGGAAACCATAAGCAGACTCCATTGGACAAAGCTGAGTTTACAAGCAAGGATACGCAATCCTAAGAGTGTTTTCCCAAGGAGAAATTCCACAATTCTGTTATCGTTACTATTAGTTCTACTGCAATATAGGACCAGTTGTCCACTGGACTAGATGACTAACAATGTCACCACTCTATCACAAAATCTAGTTCAGGGGTGGCAAACTTAATCTACCCCATAGGCCAGGTAGAGACAATGCTACACATGATGTACAGGGCAGGTCTGGAGCATATGATACACATGGTACCTGCACTGTACCATGCCTGAAGTCTGGATCCAACATGTGGAGCTGGTATGTAGGCTTGATGTGGACTGGCCCTGGATCCAGCATGCAAAGCTAATCCAGCATGAGCACTGAATATAGTGTGTAATCCAGATCAGCCTTGAGTGATGCACACAATGCACATACCACCTGGGGTGTGCCATATGTAGAGTGCCAGGCTGGGGCCAGTACATGGTGCATATAGCACACCTGTCTGTGACCCACAAGCAGCATGGTGGACCAGATGATATGGTTCTGCAGGCCAGTAGCAACTACACCCCTTATCTAGTTGCTACCTGAAACAGTCTCAACACTTTCAACTAAAATTTCTACTTGGGTAGAAAATGCTAGAAGTCAGTCAGCAGCAGCCAGAAGCTTTAGAAAGAGATGGTAGAGGGTCAGGGAGGCTACCACTGAAGTTTAGGAAAAAAATAATCACTTCCCAACAAGCTCTTCAGAAGTCTCCTAACTCCCAGTCCAGTGTCTTAACAAAAAAATCTTTTCTCTTCTTGATATCCTTCCACAACCTTGAAGTAGATTAGTACGAAAGGACCATTTGGAGCTTCATGGATTCCCCAAAAGGCAACAATAAAAATAGTACAAATTTTAGCTACCTGCAGATAAAAATAATACCTTTGTCTGGTTTCTAAATTCATCCAAGGTTACTAGAAGGTCACTGGAAAATTGTGGCAACTTAGACGTGTTTGCATCTTGGACCAGCTTTCTTATCTTAAATACCCTTGCCTCATTAGGTAATATACAATTGTTTTACCAAGTGAACTTCTATAGAAAATAAATTATTTCCATTATTTATCCAAAGCATACAGAACATATGCTGCTGGCAGAATTTAACTTAGAAATCTTTTGTGTCACTGTGTAAGGACTTTTATTTCCTTCCCTGTTCTATGAAAGTCCTATATTCCTTTCCCTCATGGCACTTCGTTATTATGAATTTCTCCAGATAATAACTTATGTATTTTATTCCACTGGCTGCTTGTCCCAATGATAATTGTAAAATCTATCCTTTTTCAAATAAGGAAGCATGTTATATAGATCCTTTGGTGTATGCTCACTTCTTCTGAGTGTGCACAACTCCCATTAATGTAGCTCCTTTTAAATTGATATATTGTCCTTCTCTATCCCATAAGTGTTTCCAACTCAGTTTTGCTGACTTTTTCTTCATACTCCCTGAACTCTGCTGTGGCTGCTTCAGTATTTCCACATAGGCCATTTATTATGACAGGAGCCTATACTAAAGGTATATTTCTGTTTGATCATCAAAACTCACAAAAACACACAAAAGTCAAGATAAAGAACATATTTCGACCAAAGGTCAGATGTATATAATTTTAAAATGGAAGAGTTATATGGATTTTCACTGGCATCATAGCATAGAATTTGGCCTAGATGTACGGCTTTACCACAAATTCTGATGATAAGAATGCAGCTCCTGGTCCCTTCTTGCTCCGAGGTGGAATTAATCTTAGCCATTACAGCACATTTTGTGGCTTAGAACATTTCTACAACAGTGTAGCTCAGCTCCACTGACTATTTCATTAGTGTGTGAAGACAAGGCACTGCCCACTGCTTGCTAATAAGATGACATGATCATGACAGACACAGTCGAGAATGAACTGAGGACCTTCAGAACTGAAAATAAGAGCTGCCACAGCTTGAGCTATACAGCCATACCTCCCAACCCAGGCAATATCAGTCATATGTTCCACATATCAGACCCAGGTGAAGATCTAAAATACACTCACTGACTGATAAGATGGTGTCTACATGAGACACTTTGCTGCACAGTAAACTAATCTACTGTACAGTAAAGTGTCACTATTTAACCTTTTGCTACGGTACCATGCAGTAAAATAAGCTAATGATTAGTTATCTGCTACCTGAAAATACAGGTAGTAGATTAACTGCACATTAGCTACTGTGCAGTAGTGCATGTGAAGATGCTGGTCAGCCCAAGCAGCAGGAAGGTCAATCTGAAAAAAAAATGGTATTATTTACTGAGATCTCCCTGTACACAATTCCTGACAATCTTACTTGGCATTTTTCTTTTTGCTTCTGGGAGTGTAAGATCTGTTTTGGGAGCCAGTTGTCAGGCATCTTTATGACATGTCCTGTCCAATGGATTGGGTGATATATAAACATGGCTTCAATGCTGGTTGTGCTTGCCTGAGCCAGAACACTGGCATTTGTTCTTCAGTCCTTCCAATTGATATGGGGGATTTTCAAAAGATATTAATGATGGCAACATTTCTGGGCTGTCAGGCATTTCTGATATGTCATCCAGGTTTCACACTCATACAATAGGATAGGGATCATAGTAGCCTGGTAGACAAGAAATTCGGTTTGAATCGTTACATCAAAGACATGATTTTGGCAACACTGAAAGGCAACACTGAAACATTTTATCCAGTGTTGAACATCATCATCTATATTTACTTTTTTGGAGAACTAAAAGAAACCTTAAGAGGATGTTCAATATTGAGTGGTTGAAATAACCTGCTAAAAATGATCATCTCCATAAGTATCTTAGTGAGAAACTCTCCAACCTCCTGAATGAAATTGACACCATTGATCATTGGGAGAGCCTCAAGAAAAA